TTCTCAATGTAAATTTGATTGTTTCAAAAGTGCCATCTGTTCTCATCATCTTCCCAACATTTGTTTGGGAACTTTTTAATGTGCTAAAGTAACAAATTCTTATAAAGATTATCAACTTTTTTCAAAATTACCGACTATTTTTGGAACTTATGTTATCAAATTTTATTTAAGTTAGTTACCAATATTTATTTGATTGATTCGTAATTATTAGAATAATTTACCTACATATGAAGCTACTAAATCGTACTTGGTAAATTAACATGCTGGTGATTGAATCAGTTTAATTTTGATAAATTATTGGAACACTTGGTAATTTGAAAAAAGTCAAATAAACATCGGTAAGTAACTCAAATTTAGTTTGGTAATTTTGTATAATAATTAGTAACTTTGACGCATTGGTTCTTCGTACATTTTCGGAATAGTTAGTAATTTGAAATGACCGAAGAATGCTGGTGCTTTTCTAAAAGTATTGATAAGTTAAAAATGCATGACAAGTCAAGAAGTTGCCAATCAACTTTTTGTAAACAACCTTTTTTACAAATTTACCAGTACAAAAATAATTTCGATTTTAAACTCACATAATACCAGAATCGTCTATTTTTTTTTTTTTGGTAACCCAGGGAACCCCCGCACGGCCGACAGCCGGGAGGTAAACCCTGGGGGCGACACGTGCTAGCCACCACACACGTGCACCGGTTAAGTCACCCTGCGGCGCCCGGGATTCGAACACCCAATCTTTTGCGAGAGGAAGAGTGCCCTTTCCAGCAGCGCTACCCAGGCGGGTGGTCCAGAATCGTCTATTTTGATTTCTGCAATTATAAAAAATACAAGTAACGCAATAGGAGTTTCTTTTTTTTTAAAGCAAACATCCTTATTGTCACTCTCAAATGATAAGCATGGAACATGTGCAATCTTTTCCCAATCTGCACCGCTTTCTATTTGGCACCTCTCTTCCAGACCGGGACACCCAACAATTCTCAATTTCTTCAAGGAGGTGAGATGATGCATCCCATCAAGCATACATGCTAAACCATGGCAACCCTCAATTTGAAGATGTTGGAGCGAAGAGAGATTGCCAATCCATTCCGGCAAACTTGTCATATTCTCACAATGAATTAAGCCAATTGCCCAATTTGTTCATGAATTTGTCAGATGGCTTAATTCGTATGGAATTCAGGCAGGGACAACCCCTAATATTCACGACCAAAGTTTTGGGATTGATGATTGTGAATCGTACCACAAATAATCCTGATCTGCTACCACCAATTACCTTCTTCCCCATCATCCTCTCAGTCCAAGCCCGTGATATTCAACGCCTTTATGGAAGGGAGTTCACTCAGGTTCGGTAGATACTTCCATCCCCTAGATACATCAAGTTGGATCTCAATAAGATTGGTGATGGAGGAAAGCCAGCTTGGCGGACTCCTACTCATACAAGAGACTATAATCAAACAGGCCAAGTTTGGGTGTGGTCGGAGGTTCTCCCACACGATTAACTCATCGCTCTCACTTTTGCCATTTTGTTGCTTCCTCGTCCACTTCAACTCTAATTAAGAAACAAAGACATTTTTCCCTCAAGTAAATTTTGTTCGGTTCCGATTGAAGGACCTCCAACTTTCTAAGAGTAATGGACCCAACCAATCTGTTTAACCCACCTAGTTCATCTACTCTTACGACACCATGAGGTAATTTATGGTCCATATTTTGTATGATGAATTGGGATAAAGTCCGAAGCGAAGACAAGTGGTTCAACCCGCACGGCTTATGGCTAAGTGAGTCACACCCATCAAGTAAGAGGTGTCTAAGGTTGACCAATTTCCTAAAATCTCTTCGAAATGTTGTAAGCTTCTTGTGAGTTTAAGGGTCTGCAAATTCAACAAATTCGTGATTCAATCTGGCAAACTCTTAATGGATAGATTTTCAGAAACATCAAGAAATCTTAAGTGCTTCAAAAGACTCTCAAAAGAAGGAGGGATACAAAAATCTGCACAGCCCAACACCAACGTTCGATAATGCCTAAATATGAAAAAAGAATTCCATGAAATTTACTTGGAGACAACTTATGTACAGACGGACTACTCTTTAAAGAAAGAAATGTCGTAGATTGGTCGCTTCCAATAGAGGGGTCACTTCATGTAGCAAGGACGATTGTGAAGCAAATGATGCATGTCGAATTCCACCACCGATGATGCCTTCATCGAGACTAACCATCTTGCACTCATCTCCTGTGACTTTCAAGGTAAGATCGTGAATCTTGAACATTTTCACCTCACCTGTGAAGTAATCAACCTATTCAACTTCAAATAATGGCCTACCTTCTTTCTTGTTTGTGTGCTTAACGTTAGGGGTTTCCGATGAGATAAATCAAATTCTGGCAAGTGGGAATGGAATTAGCCGACAAGAAGATAAGCATGTGCAAATGTTAGTTGGTGCGAAGATGACTTGGGTCCATTAGAAAGGGACTCAAAGATAAGAGGAGGAAAAGACCCCAAAGGCTTCTGGGTCAAGAAAGGATGCGGCAAAAGCAAAGCAACTTGCTCTATTTGTTTAGAGGAAATTTTCCATTTTTTTTATTTTCATTTTCATCTGAAACCTGAAAATAATACTTGAAAAAGCGTTTGGTAAACATATTGAGATCAGTTTCCAAACGAAAATAGTTTCCAAAAGAGTTGATGAGCAGAACATTAAGAAAGACCATCGATAAAATGCTCTCCAGTATTAATATGGGTAAGAGGTTTCCCACAAATTGAAAGACAAGTGTTGAAGTGAGGTACATTAGGTGATGGGTTAATACACTCCTGTTTACACAAATAGAAAATATACAGAAAGGGATTTTTACTAGTTAAATCGCTCCACTTAAATCCATTTTACACAAAAAACATGATCTTAAAACTCTCTTCTATTGATTATATAAATTAGTTTACCAAAATTAAAATCTGTATACATATTAAAGTCTTAGCCAGCCCTGCTCGTATAATAATTTTTGCCACAAAAAAAACATTTAAGAGACTATTGCTTTGTCTTTTCTTTTTTCCCAAAAAGTAGACTTAGTCATCACGGGATTTCATTATGTTTTGTTGGAATTTCTCCAGCGACGAAATATCTTTTACCGAAAGTCATTCTTCGATTTTTAAATTAAAGGAAACCAAGATCTTGCACCAACTCCGGACGGGAAATATCACAAGCAATAAGAACCAACAACTTTAATTAGAACATAACTGTACGAACGCAAACCATGTCGGAATTAAATCGACGACAAGGCTTGGAAAATATAGACTCAGTAAAGCAATCAGAATCAAACAAATTATGTTGGAATTTAATCGACGACACAACATCCAAGATAAAAATACAAGCCGGAATTTAATCGATGACGCGAATTTGGAAGCTACAACTAGGAAAATAAAGTATTGTGCATGAAAGTAAAGATACTGAAAAGATAGTAAATTTGTTTGATTTGTGCAAGGATACTCTTCGGTAGATGACTGGTGGTATTTATACTGGTTAAGTGGTAACAGCTCCCCAACGGTTGCTAGCGGTTGCATTTTCCTCAAACGGTTTCTGTCGATTGTCCCCAAAGTCCTTTTTTTTTCTTTTCCAAAAGTCTCATGCCTATACTTCCACGATCTCTTGATCTTGTTCTCGAACGGTAATTCCTTTGAAAGTGCATGTTAACTGCCTCATTATCTTGTGCCCACGTTCTCACGATCTCATAGTCTTACTATGAGATGATTATTCTTTCAAACATTCATGACAATTGCCTCGCAATTTCAGATGCCCAGTGTGGTGCTCTTGGGCTTGCAATCGTACCTCTAAATTCCTCATGTTTGTTAGTTGATCCATCGTTTATATCGTCCTATCCCCTGGCGGCTTCGAATTTCTGAACTCTGTCTCAACGCTTCTCAGGTATTCAAGGAATTGTACACTGTCATTCGCCCATCGGCACATTCATTGATAATTACTGGTCCTTCGTCATCGTATGTCGACAGCTAATTGACTGTATCCCTTAACATGTGTCGTCGACACATATCAATATTGATGTGGTCATCAACGATGTGTCATGTGCATAGTAATGTCCGCACACTAGTCACGTGATCACTTGTGTTTACGCAGTAGTCACGTGTTCATCTATATCGATGACTTGTTCATTTTTTGGTGTAACATGTGTTTAGTAGACTATTACTTTGGTCCACTACTCAAAAACTGAATGAAATTTGGCATAATTGGGATGGTCTTGTCCAACTCGCTTACATTATAAACATTACAGCTACCCGTGATATTTTTTTTTTGTAATTTCACATACGAAATAAAAGAAATTTAAATTTTAGCGATTACGGGAATGACGAGAATCTGAACTAGATTGTAAACGTCATATACAAACTGATGGATTTATGTGGAATCATGTTCTTATAAGTTAGAATTTGCTTATGTGTAAAAATTAACTCATTAAAAATGGAGATATGAAAAACAAAGTGATGAAAAACTCAAAAGGGATAATGACACAAGCAGTTTTTGAAACTTTGGCACAATATGCAATATGGTCCATGAACTTTTAATATATTTAATGTGGTCCATGACATGTTCAATGTCGTCCATAAACTACATAAAAATGTTACATGTAGTCCCTGAGCTTGAATTAATGAAAGGACTACATTGAACATTTTCATATAGTTTAGAGACTAAATTAAACATGTACCAAAAGTTCAGGAACCACATTAAACAAATTAAAAGTTCATGGACCACATTACACATTAAATTAAAATTTAAATACCACATTGGACAACTAAAAAGTTCAAGAATCACGTTGCACATGTGGCCAAAGTTTCAAAGATCGCTTGCGTCATTTTCTCAGCTCAAAACTTAATCATTTTCTAAAGGAATAAAGAACAACAAAATTGGGAGTAAGCCGAAAAATAATTATAAAAAAAAAAAACAAAGCCCCCTTGTGATAATTCTACACTCTCACGGTTCTCTCACGGTTCTCCCTCCCACACAGATACATCCAAGAAACTCTTCCTTTCGTGCCCGACAACTTTTGGGTTTGTCCAATCTAAGCAGGCTTACATGAGCACTCTGGTTCTCCAGTTTGTACTTTGTACCCCGTACTGCGCAAATCATTTTGAGCGAGTGAGATGGAGGCGAGCAACAGCAAAGCGTCCGTGGTGGGCCGGCTGCAGGCGGCGAAGCACGAGTCCGGCAAGTCGTTCAGCCAGATAGCGCAGGAGACCGGCCTCACCAACGTCTACGTCGCCCAGCTGCTGAAACGACAGGCCCAGCTGAAGCCCGACACTGCCCCGAAGCTCCGGGCGGCCCTGCCCGACCTGCCGGAGGACCTCCTCCACGAGATGATGAAGCCCCCCATGAGGTCCTATGACCCCAGTTTGATTCAAGATCCTACTGTTTACAGGTCCCCTTTTCATTATTACTAGCTCCTATGATCGAAAATTTTTCTGTTTTTCTCTATAAGTAACATATTTCTCTTTTGAATTATCTTGGTTCATCTGTGTGGCTTTGTGCTTTGAGGGATATGGGTCTTCGATTCTTTAGATTTCGGATGATGGGTCATTCGGTTGTGTCGCGAACGAATCTAACCATGAGCTGTATTTTTTTTTTTTTGGTAAGTTACCATGAGCTGTATTTTGTTCCTAGCATGTGCTAGAATTTTTGTGAGGGCATGTCCATCCCTTAAAATCTGCATGGATTGTTGTTTATCTGATGTAAGGTGTAGATGAATCAGTTTGAAGTGTAATGCTTATCGCGGTGTCGATTGATTCAGAGTGGAAGACAAAAGTGCAATAGCTATCAACTGAAGTGGTAGTTCCAGTTATCTGGTGTTAAGAGTTGATTTAATTCATGACTATACTCTTTCTTGGGAGACTACTCTGTTTAAGCTCTGTCTGCATCTGGTGGCTGAGTTGAGCTCAACAAAACAGTCTTGATTCTTGAACTACGAGCAAACTATGTGTTTTTCTCTTATTAAAGATGTTCTTTAATGATCCTTCGCAATGAAAGGCTGCCTGTGTAGGCTGTGGAATTACGTAGAACACCAGATGAGGTTATTTCGACTTTTCTCTTTTCTGTAGCTGCGGTTTCAAGAGATAGATACGACCTGAAAACACGCCAATCCAAAGCTTTCATTTTTTGCCTTTGGGACAAATCCTGTTCTAGCTTGTAGGATTTTCTGTCATTGCTGTACTGTTCGATTATGGTACGGATAGTCTGTGATGCTGATCAGAATCTTGGAAATGGCTAATGCTTTAATTTCTAAGTCCTTGGCTATTGGATTCCCAGGTTGAATGAAGCGGTGATGCATTTCGGAGAAAGCATCAAGGAAATTATAAATGAAGAGTTTGGTGATGGCATGTAAGTCTAAATTCCTAACTGTATCATTCTCCTTTTGGAAATCTGCATCTTTGTCCATGCACAAACCATTTGTTCTAGTACGATGAAATTTGACCATGTTGTCTACATAGTATGATATTGGCATGACTTTAGCCCCTCTATTAGGTCTCCTGCTGAACAAGCCTGCAAGTAGCTCGTTTTTGGGTGTACACAATTCATTTGTGGTTATGAAAACAGGAAGTGGGTAAGTTGGAACGATGCACGTCCCAAGCAATGATAGTGGTCATCAGCATGAAATAGGACTGTTCTATTATTGACCTGCCAATGTCTTATGATGGGTCCCCACTTCAGTGAAAATCATGTAAATTAGATTCGTGAAATTGATATGAGATTCTGTGTAGAACATTCAAATGATACAAAACACCTTTCCTTGGTTTGCTTGGTTGAGTTGACCAGTAAGTCGATCTAGGAAGCGGCCTAGCTGCTGGTCTCAGGGATGATTATTCCTCATCCATGGAATGAATAATTGAATATTAGGAACTCGGATGTCTCTATTTCAGCTTTGTTCAATTGTTAACTCATTGACTTTATTGCCTTTAACGTGTTTTTGCAGAATGTCAGCCATAGATTTCTACTGCTCGGTTGACAAAGTCAAAGGTGTGGATGGGAAGGACCGTGTTCTTCTGACATTTGATGGGAAGTATCTGCCTCACACCGAGCAGGTTAGTTGGCATCAATTCTGTAGGCTAAAAGAAAGATGACGGAAGTAATATCTGGGTTTTCATAACAATTGATGCGTTACGATGCTTTCCGCAAGCAATGGAACAGCATAGCACCTTCTTTTCCTTTCAAGCTCACGTAAATCACTATTCTCCAAAAGATGGGAATCAAATACATATTCACTACTTTATGACAATATGCCTATGGAAATAATCTGTCTTCTGTTGAATACAAATTCCGCGTTTAAGTACTTATTTAGTTTGCTGCAAACTGTTGACATACAGCAAAAAGAAATTCAAATAGTCCTTTTTTCCTTCGCCTTTTGGCTAACAAGGATAGAATTAGCGACTGCCCAGCCACCTAATTCCCATTACTTAGTTACCTTTGCCATGAGCATAGGGTGGTTGGGGAAGGTGGTACATGTTGTTATTCTTCAGATAGTTTTACTGATTAGAATCTTTTCTTAGGTGTGTCCTACTTTTTCCACTTTCTTTTGAATTGGATAAGGTTTGCTGCAATATGCACCTTTTCTGAGCCTAGGTATCGTCTCTTTTAAAGAAGCAGACATGTTGACGAGTTTGATTCAGACAAAGAACCACACATGGTTCTCGTACATAAACATGCACATGCTCTTTCAGAGCAGTTTCATTACCTAATTATAGGCAGTCAAACGAAAAACTGAGCCGGTCCCTCTCACATTGTAACATGATTCATGAGGTGTCTGCTGATAGGTTTCTAGGTATCCAATCAAGGGAGTGAAGGATTCACTACTGGCTTTTAACTTCAGCACTTGAGACGAATAAGTTAAACAATGGCCATGTTCTGCTGCATCTGGTGCTTTAAAAATAACTGGATATCTTCTGGATTGGCATGATCTAAACATGTTTGCTCTTTCATTTATACTATGATCAGGTCACATGTTGAAAATTGTTTTCTCGCAGATATCGGAGCATATGGTTTCCAGGCTACACTTGCATGAAGAAAAATGAATATGCGAGCACCAAGTCTGGCGACGCAAAGCTCTTTAAGATAAAATGAAGGTTTTCATTTCTACATGGTTGCGAATTGCCTTAGGCTTTGTTGTGTATGTAATTATGTACTCCTCCAACAATGTTGTGTTGTGCTTTTAAGCTGCAATAAAGAATTAAATATTTTGATTGGATGACACCTCTTTAGCTGATACATATAGAATCAGTGGATTGCTCCTTGAGGCGATTTTTTTGTGGCATATCTCGGTATCTATGCTTGTTCCTGTAGCCTGTTTATTCTGATAGTAACTGCAGGTCAAGTCGTCGCAATAGTTTGTTGAACTTTCTATGAAAAGAATTACGGAGATTTCATTCATGCCTTCAGGAAAAGTTAGGATGATGATGCTAAAACAGCGGTGAACGATTTACACTTCTTGTGTAGGTAAGATGAAGCTCTCTTAATTGGAGTTTCGACAATCTATAATCCGGTTTATGTTTTTCTTGTTCTTTACCTAAAAGTTTGACAGTTTATCATTTTCCACATTGAAAAAAGTACAGCATCGAATCGTGATTAACAGGGCAATGAAATTCATTCTTGCAATTCGATATGCAGGGCGTGTGCGATGTCTATATGAAAATACTTATGCATCTGTTATGCCCAAAATGCTATTTCCATAGAAGCTTATGATCTTTGAATCTTTTTCTTCAAAGCTAAAAGAACTTGCCTCTTATATCCTCTCATTTCACAGTATCTATCAGCAAGTACATTTCACCCCAATGGAGGGAGGACTGTAAAATTAAAGCACAAAGCCTAAGAACACCACCTCATTGGCTAAACTGGAGAGCCAACAGAGGTAGAAAGAGACAACTTATTGCTTTACCCCAGAAGGAGATTTGAAGAGGAAAGGAATGAATTGAAGTGGATTATATATACTCTGTTAAAAAGGGCAAAAAAATGCTCCGGCCTTCACCTTAGAGGAATGCAAATCGATCCTTTTTTCTGGCTTATTTAGATAGCTCCGATCAGTTGTATTGTCAACGTGGTAAGATGAGTAATTCCACAAGTATGCTCTACCCTTGCCACTATGTTAATAGAGGTGATCGGTTGTAGAGTGGGTCAATTCTCATCATGAAACCTAGAATCATATCGGGTAAGGTCGGTTCTTAGCTTGTGGAAGCAGGAACCAGCCCAATCTACCAAACCAACTGGTCCAGTTCAGTTTCAGAGTCGATCCCGTAACGGGTGATTTTTTTTTTTTCCCTACAAGTGGGAGTTTCCCAGCATGAAAAAAATTTAATAATTAGGGTTTGCTTCAAAATAAAAAATAAAAAAAGGGTTAATACCACAAAAATCCCAAATTATTCTCTTTGTGATACAAATATTGCAAACTTTTTTTTTTTGGTAACCCAGGGAACCCCCGCACGGCCGACAGCCGGGGGGTAAACCCTGGGGGCGACACATGCTAGCCACCACACACGTGCCACCGGTTAAGTCACCCTGCGGCACCCGGGATTCGAACGCTCAACCTTTTTTATATCACTAAAAACCCTAAATTTACCATTGTGACACAAATACCTCAAACTTTTTTTTGTATTATAAAAAACCCTGAATTTATTCTAATGTGACAAATATATCATTGATGGAACTAAAATAGAGAGTATATATATGTCACATATGTATAAATTTGGGCTTTTTCGTGATACAAACAAAAATTTTGCGGTATTTGAATCACAGTGGACAAGTTTAGGGTTTTTAGTAAAAAAAAAATTATGGTATTTGTATCACTATGAGCATAGTTTGGGATCTTTTATGGTATTTGCCCTAAAAAGAATTAAGGAACCTTGGTCAGTCCAATTGGTCTGGTTCCTTATGTGGAGCCGAGAATCGGACCGATTATTCCCAGTTCCAAATTTTTAGAATTGGGATTGGAGCAATCTCCTTGAGAACCACTCAGATCGGCCAGATCAATCCGGTCCGATTTAGTTTCAAGGTTGCACACCCCTAGTTGATACTATATATGAGAAATTTTCTGAGAACGAGAGCCTTATGATATAGATTACTGGTAACTGGAAACTAAAAGACAAGCCCTTTAAAAACATCGAAAGAAAGAGTTATGTGTGAGATACCGTACATGTCTCATATGCTCATTACTTTTAGTTTTTACCATAACCCACTTATGCTCTCTTATTCCATCTCAAGGGCAATTTTTAATCCTTACGCAAATCGCACACGATTTCAAAGAGAGCGGCGACCAAAGCAACATCTCATAGCGCAGAAATGGAGGCAATGTCTGAGCTTCGAAGTTAAAAATATGAGATCATCCGTCCATGTTTCACTAGAAAATACTAAATTGTTTGGAGTATTTAGATGTATTTTGTCGATGTTTCCGAGCGGTAACAATTTTAATTCTTGATTGTTCTTTTGTTCCACTTTGTCATTACCAAACAAGTCATCACATTATACATTACAATTATCATAATTTTTTTTTTTTTACCAAAATACATCACTCAGATTTCAATTTGTTTGATGATGATTTTAGAGAAAGAAAAGGAAAATAAAGATAAAAGCCTCTTTTTGGTTTTTTTGGCCCTCACATAAATGAGATTTTCTAAGCCAGGCAAAAAAAAAAAGCCTAGCAAAAAAAATTATATACTGAAATGTATTGTCTTCCCTTTTTTTTTTTCAAAAACGAAAATGTGTTTTCTCCACTTCAGTTTTTATCCCTCGCCGTCTCGATCCCACCATGGCCCACAAACCCTGGCGCGTTCCACCTCCTCCGCCGCCGCGCGCCGCCCGCGCCGCCCGCGCCCTGTCCGTCCAATTCCTCCGGAGGCGCCTCTTCTCGACCGAAACCTCCTTTCCGTCGCCTCCGCTGCCCCCCCCCCCCCCCTCCTCTTCCGCCGCCTCTCCTCATCTCGCCCGCCCCTCCCTCCGCCGGCCTCAACCGGAACACGGTCCGCTCCGGTCCGGGCGTTGCGCGACCCCGTCCCATATACCTCCACTTGCTCGCCGGCGAACTCCGGCTCGGCCTCCCGCGAGCGGTTTCCTCCGGAGGCGGCGCCTCTGTTTCCGGGCTACGATCACCGGCGTTGGCTCGTCGTCGTGGATAAAGCCTGCTGGCGACGGAGCTACGAAGCAGCAGATGACTGACTGTTTACGTTCGAAACCCTGGCTAAAGTTGTTGGCAGGCCGTGAGGTTCCGCGTTCTTTTCTAAATTCTTATGATGCCGGTTTGTAAAAGCAGGAGGAGGAGGAGGAGTTTCTGATCTCTGTATGGTGGATTGCTTGCTATGACTTCTTTATGCGAGCTATATGAAATGTTTCTCATGTGGGTATCTTGTGGTTGTGCTAATCTTATGCAAATGAATGTTTTTTTGAAGCTTACAGCAGTTGCAAGCTCTTGTCTTGGTGATTTTCTATGATGATGGTGGAATGCTCGACGTTTTTCCCTACTTGGTTTTTGTTTGGAAGATTTTGTTGACTGTCCATGCTGCTTTGTTTGTGAATGGCTACAGTGAAGAGGAAGCAAAGAAGATGATCTACAATGTCTGCTTTGAGAGATGCTTTGGTTTTGGGTGTGAGACTGAAGAGGAGACGTCCAACAAGCTCCAAGGTTGCTTCATTTGTTACTTTTCATTTCTCTTAGTGTCTTTTCTAATTTGTGCTACTTATTTTTTATCTGCTAAAAGCTATAAATAATTTCTGCCAACAGGGTTGCCTGGTGTTTTGTTTGTGATTCCAGACTCGTATGTCGATCCTGAATGCAAGGATTATGGAGGTAAGGCTTGTAGCTTTTAGTGTTTGTTCTCCTTTTATGTATGAGGTGAAGGGTCACTCATATTGGCACCTTGCCGGCTACCTTACATCACCTTTTACCTGCATCTGCCATGCACACACAAAACTTTGTTCAGATTATGATCCTAGCTTGTGCATTAATAGGTTTCGGTAGTTTTGGCAGATGCCTGTCCTATCTTTTGTAAATGACTTCAGGTGTACGGCCTAACACCCTCCTTAAGAAATGGTTCTCTGGACTGTTCTTAATTATCAAGAATTTGATTGCATACCATAAGTTTTTTGAACACTAGCATAAATAATGTCATTGTTATTGTTACGTTTTTGCTAAACAAGTAATGTTATTATATTTCTCTTGCAATGAGAAAGGCTGAGAGGCCCACAACCATCTGAACATACATACTAGTCCATCTTGGCAAAGCTAAAAAGTCTAATGGCAATATTTAGCTCTGATTGCTAATGGACTCACATCAGATGTCGCTCTTAAGTGTTCTATGTTTTCTTCTTCCATTTGAGCTCGAGATCAGTGGAGGTGAAATATATATTCTTCAACCGATTAAGTCCAGGTCAATCAACTAAATTTGTTGACTCCATGGCGAATCGAACAATTCTGTGAGATCTCATTCTGAACATGTACGAATTTGTGATTCATACACTATGTTATCTGATGGTCTTGGGATGCAATTTAGCAGTAGCTTTGGGGGCCAAAGTTTCTGTGGGTTTTACATAATTAGTTTTGAGGTTAATGTCTCATCTAAAGCAAAACTTTAACTTTAGCAGTAGATCTTAGATATTACTTTTCAACTGTAAATCAGGTGATATAAAGGCTGATACTTTCAGATTGTTGGAGACCATGGGAGTAAATTTTGGTAGCAAAGCAGCTCAGCTGCATTATTGACACAGAGACAGGTGTGTACACTCGCACAAACATCGTGACCTGTTTCCCTTTGAATGACTTTTTTTTTTGGCATGCATGCTCATCACTTGGACAGAGCACGTGCTTGGAGAAAATGGTCAGAGACTTGGAGGTACTAATAGATGAATAAACCTGTGTAGTCATTTCTTGGGAACAAGAAAAGTAGGTTGTATGGGTTCCTGGGGAATGCAATTCCATATCACAAATTATTACTGTGCTCAAGTTCTTGCGCTTGCGGTTTGTAAATTTGCATGAGGGGTGATCTTTTCAGGATCCTTACTTGTGTGGTCGATAAAGATGTACATATGGCACGTGGGTTCAGGATTACATGTTCACTTCAGTGCATTTTAACCCCGGATAAGTTCAGTCTTATGTGGAGGCCATCCAATTCGAGCTTGAGATGCAAATCAGTCTTATGTGGAGGTCAATCTCATGTCGAATCGCATCGAATTACGCGCCCTAATATAAAAATTATGACTTATCCAAGCACGCAATTATTTGTTAGTACAATACTATCGCCAACAGTTAATTACAAACGATACTAAAATTAAAATCAAAATCAAAATCGTAAATGATAATTATAGTAATAGTTAGTACTATACAGAATAGAAGTTAAAGGGAACATAAGGAAAAGTACTTGGTACATTAAAACTGGAAAAATGATGGGGCTATTTATACAAGTTTTAAGCTTAAGTCAAATTCTTTCCATTGCCTGAAGCTCCTTCATATTTATTTTAGGTGATAAAATAGGAACAATAGATTTATGATAAACTTTTGTATTCTGCTTTAATCCTTTTTTCGTCTCACAAAAAAAAATCACGTTCTTTTAGGTAAACTGACCAAAATGTCCTCCACACATAAGTATACCCTCAAGAACCTGCCTTTTGTTTCATAACAATAATTTAACCTTTTCATTTCTTCTCTCGTCTGGTGTCTTGTATCTCTTCTTGTTTACCGTAGACACCTGATAATAAAAATTTATGATTTAAATATTCTCACCTACTCTTCCGATATCGAAAATTTGTTTAGAGTAAGAATTTATTTAAGAAATGCGTCGGCCTACGAATTCCAAAGGAAAAAAAATGGCGGGTTTGTTTGCAAGATTGGAACATAAGCATGCTCCCAAGCATCCAATTACATTTATTCTTTCATCAATCTTTAGCTTTAAGTTTTCCAAAATATGATGACCCAGTCTTTGGTTTTTAGATTCTTCATAATTGAACTTTTATTATTTCGTAAGAGATAATTTCAACAAGTTAATTTGGTATAAGATGTAATTCAGATGAGTTCATATGTCAGTGAAATCATAGATAATTCTCTTCATTCAAATGATTAAAAAATAAAGGTTTCGAGACGTTAAAAGTTATCTATTTCGT